TTTTTTTTTTTTTTGGTGTCATGATGGTAATTGATAGTGTTGCTACCATTTTTTCCACTTTTATTGATGGTGTCATTTTCAACTGTGAAAATTTGCTATTTTTTTATATTTATTGTTATCATTTCATAATAATTGGACTTAAAAAAATTAGTGCTAGATTAAACAGAAATACCAACACAAAACAAGACGTCAAATGACTATCTTTAGGCTAACTATGAAAAATACTCCTTACACGTGCATTAGAGCCAAAAATAATAATAAATAAATAAATAAGATAAAATTCTATAGTTTAGTAGAATATTATTTAAAAAAAAAAATTTTTGTCATTATGCTTTTTTTAAATAATTCACTCTTATCCTTCCCCAAAGAAGCTCAAACCTAGGCCAATGATCGATTAAGATTTCACTCTTACTACTTGAGCTAGATTCATCCTCGACAGTATCTTTTTATTTGATTTTTAGTTATTCTCTTTTTTATTTTGTATTTTAATATTTTATGGCAATTTAATTAGAATTTGATTCCACCTTGTGATTTTAGATGATCTCACGTCATCTGTCTCAAGTTGTCAAAATTCATTTTTGATTTCCAAATGTTAATAAATGCACTATTGAAATATTTTAAATTTGAGAAAAAATAAAATAAAAGGCAGAAATCAATAAATAAATAACTGATTCCAATAAAATATGATAGAACAAAAAAAGAAAAAGGGACACCAAATTATAGTTAAATGGCATTATGTGATTACGAACAATTTGATTTTACTAACAATAATGAATTATTTGTGAGGAATGTTAGTACTCTTCGCAAAGAAATGATATCATTCAAAGAAATATGTGAAATAAGAAATGTGGCACAAATCATCCTTTTGAGTGTATAAATGGGTAAAGGATACGAGTGTCATTTTATTAAAATAGATATATTTAAAGGCATGAATGGATGGAACCAGCCAAAAGGACTTTTTGCGCACAAAATCAACAAGTTGAAGGAGTTAGCGCCAAGAATGAAATGTTAAGGACCATTTCTGAGCAAGGACAAACCTCAAGGACCAATTGCACCAATTTTCCTACTTAAATATATAAAAGACAAAACGAAAAGAAAAGAAGACAAAAAAAATAAAAATAAAAATAAAATAAAATAAAATAAAAAAGAAAAGACCTGATCACTAGATTGATCAAATGAACACAACTATGATAGAGTAGGGTATAATGGAAAGAGGTTTGAGCATGTGGAATTTACTCTTGTAATGCAATTCTTATTGGAAAATCACATGATGTGTGTTGTATGTATGAGCATGTGGAATTTACTCTTTATGTTGTATGTGTTGGTTTTGATGTCCAATAGTTTTAGGGCACTAAAGAAATTAATTGCATGTGGTTGTCTTATGGATTGCCTAAATTTGTTACAGGATAGTGATTACCTAAATTTAGTTACAATCATATGGTCGGTGAGCCCATAGGAATCGAAGTAGTAAGCCATATTCGCTTTCAGAATTCGTCACCCTGTTTGATAGGTAAATGAGTCCACTTCGATACTTTCTTTAGAGAATGGTTTAAATCAAGTTAAATAATATATAATTCTACGATTGTATAAAGAAGAAACCATTTTAGAAGCCAAAATGTCATTTCATCCTCATCTAATTGTTTGACATCCGATGGAGATAATACAACTGATAAGTCAAGAAGATATAATTTGCAAAGAATTAATTTGTGCTTCTATGATTCTTATATAGTTTATGAGTTCATTTTCTCGTTTTTAGTGGTGAAAGTCGAAACTAATGATTATATTGACTGGACTGTGTATAGTTGTTGCAGCATAATAATTTATATAAGTTCGGTCAAGTCCATTTGGTAGTTTCTGTAAAAGTTCTACACTAATAATAGTACTAAAGGAACGGCATGTGCAAAAATAACAAACTAGAAGTAGAGATGGATTGAAACAAAGAAAAAGACCTGGCCATATAAATGGAGTGCTAGGGGATGCCCCAAACAACAACTGCAGTCTATACTTTAGAAAAATATTAAGGAAGATCTGAAAGTTGGAAGCATGAAAATTGAAGATCAAGATTCATGAATGGGAACAAAGCATGTTGCTGTCCAGCAGGGATGGATGGGGGAGAGGGGGGGCTGTAGTCCGGTCCAGTCCCCACCCACTAAATTTTTTTTAGTTAAAAAAAATTACGTAAAAATTAAAAAAAAAAAAAAATCATGT